CCCCAAAACCCCAAAACCCCAGTTAGAATATAGAGTGAGAAAAATCTTATTGAATTATAATAAAATCCAATCAGAATAAACAATAAATGGCAAGCTTTAAAAGAATCAGATTTTTTGAGTGTGACCAAATAGAAGATGCTAATGCTGCCTCAAAGGGTCAACCTCAGTAGCCTAAAGGAAGAGGGGCAAACAGAGAAGAAACCAAGGGGGAGATAACCTAGGCTAAGGGTGGTGACAGAACTATTTAAGACTTGAAAATCCTCAGGATGATATATCTCGATATGTTCTTCCTATTTCTCGGTTCTGATAAAACGAAGATAGGCGAACCCTTTAGCGAGAGTCTGTACCTAACAAAGAACTTGCAGATAAAATCAGAATTCAAGATACACAATGAAACATTCTACGTAGACAAGTTCATAAATTACCAAAAAGGAATGAAGCTATTGATTTCACTTGGTCAAGACTATTTCATGAATGAGAATAATCAAAAAGAGGACGAGTGTATGATTATTAAGATATGGGATTTCCAGTCACTAGTTCATTCCAGTAATCACATATCTCTTTCATTTCTAATTATATTTAATAGGCTACATTGATGGTGGCAGAAAAGGCTTGACAGGAGGGAACATATGGCAGAAATAGGGGCTTACCACTGGAGGAGATATTCAATAGCATATGGGAGAAACACCTAAGATGATTCCAATCTATGTGAACGGCAAGCCCTACTAGGATAAGATTAAAGCATTTAGAGTATCAAAGGATGGAGTTATGGCAGCATTAGTTCTCAGAAATAATGACATATTAATTTACAGAGTAAAATTTTGGTCAATCTAACTAACTTAATAGCTACTGGATGCAAAGGGCGATTTTATCCCAGAGAAGACTGCTCAAAAGCCAGTTAAAGTTTTGAAAATTAAGGAGGCTCAATATCAAGAAGTATTTGATCTCCACATTTTTAAACGTACTGAGCCTGGCGGAGCAACTGAATATTGTATGTATTTGATTTCTACAAATGGAGTGCTGGTTTACTACTCTATTGAAAAGAAGGAAGACTGTAAATAAGTATTCGATGAACAGAATCTAACTCTTACTCCTAACTGTGTCGATTGTGATTATAACAGAGGTCTATTATTGATAGATGCTGCTCAAAGTAAAAATATTAATCTTAATTTAATGACTAAATCCTTTCTTAGAAAATAAAGATGTCTCAGATCACTTCGTCAAGAGATATAAATAAAGGGATTAAATTCATCAATAGGCACTAGAAGGCTAAAAAGATCTACTCAGATTCTTCAAGGATCATGTTGTTGAGGTAAAACAGATAAAATCAGGAGCCTAATTATCTATCTATGATTTCAGCAATCAAATGACACTCTTTTGCAATACCTATCCAAACATACTTTTTGTTGAAGTTGAGGAAGATGCTATCTATATGTTGACATCCAATCAGAAAGACGTAAAGACCTTATTCAAACTTCATGAGATGGAAGATAATGTTAAGATATAAACTCTCCTCAAGAAAGGTTTATATGCCGAGGCCTAAAAGATAGCATAAAATGCTAATTTTCCATAGGAGATTATCGCTGAAATATGCAAAGAACATGCAGATAATCTTTATGAGAAAAAATAATATGATGAATCTCTAGACTAGTTTATCAAAACTATTGGCTTCTTAAATCCAAGTTATGTCATTCAAAGGTTCATAGAGGTTCCGTAATTAAACAATCTCATCAAATATCTAGAGCATCTTATCAATACTCCACAATAATAATAGCAAAACCTTACTTCATTGGCTGATTATAATAAAGATTATACAGCCCTACTTTTGAATTGCTATGTTAAGACTAAGTAGAAAGAAAAGATTACTTAGCTTATCCAGAAATCATAAACTAGTAATAAGGATACCATATTTGATGTTGCTACTGCCATTGAGGTTTGTAGATAGTAAAGCGAGACCTTAGAATAAGCAGAGGCATTAGCTGAGCAAAGTAAGAAGTGGAAACTATTGGTTCAGATTTAAATAGAAAACAGAAAAGACCTGGCTAAGGCACTCTAGACTATTGATTAGAAAATAACAAACCTTAAGGAGAAAGTGGAATGTCTTCAACTATATGCTCCCAAATTCTTTAAACAGAATCAAGATAAACTCCTCATTGGATATCCATAGAAGCAGTAAATAGAATAGATTTAGACCATTGTAAGAAATATTGTGTAAGCTCTGATAGAACACTAAAAGCATAATAAGTTTTTAACAGAAGCTTATAAGAGGTTTGAGATCAAGAAAAACTAGAAGATTAGAATCGAAGACTTGCTTTAAATCTTTGTTGATGACATTAGTCAAATGAAAGATTTTTTGAGACACGTTATTGAAACAAATGGAGATAATAATTCTAAGCAATTAGAGCAGCTGACTAGTCTTAATCTATATCATAGACTTTTGGAATGCTACTTGTACTTGAATCAAAATAATTAGACATCAATGTAGTAATAGAGACAGATTTAGGTTGAGCAAAGGACTATTGTTGAAGAGATCAATAAGTTTATTGATAGATACGATTCTAAAGTGGACAAACATTATGTACTCTTTTTGTTCCAAATTTATAACTATGCGGAAGGAGTCTAGGGATGTTGTGAGAGACTTGACTTAAAATAAGAATTACTTAGCTATTACATTTAAAAGAAAGATGTTAACAAAGTTCTTGAAATTTGTTAAAGATATTCAGAAAAAGGTGCAGAAAACAATATAGGTGATCTTTGGATCTAAGCACTTACTTTCTTCAGAGACCTTGAGGGTCCAGATTCTGAGATTTATCTAGAAAAAGCATTGTAGTTTATTGGCTCAAAATCAATCCTTAGTCCACTATTGATTCTTGAGATAATCCAAAATAAGCCAACAATAAAATTCAAGGTTATGAAAAAGTATTTGCTTGAGAGACTTTAAGCTTAAAACACTGTTATTTAGAAGAATAACAAGAAGGTGGAGGAAAATATGGATAAGATCAATAAAATGAAAGCAGAGACTGTAGAATTGAGGACAAGTGCTAAGAGCTTCAATCAAAAAGAGTGCTCCTAATGTGATAAAAAACTAAGTCTTCCAACTGTTCATTTTATGTGTGGTCATACTTATCATGATTACTGTGTTGAATCAGAAGGTCAAAGAAAATGTGTTAAATGCCAAATGCGTAAGTTATTTATTTTCATGATGAATTTTAGAATTCCAAGACATTATTGATAAGAAAGAACAATTCATAGATTAAGCTAAGTCATCAGAGCAGTTTTTAAGAGAGTTAAAGGATGAAAAAGTAAAGTTTAATGTCATCGCCGCATATTTTGGGCGCGGATTATTTTCTGAGATTGATCTTCATCTAAAGGAAAAGGAAAAGAGATTGTGAGAGATAATCATATTTCTGATGAAATTCCTGAAAATCATAATTATTATTCATTAATCTTAAATCATAATTCCTAATTAGTCATCTGACATTAAATCGTGGGGTTTTGGGGTTTTGGGGTTTTGGGG